GCGCAGCGGTGGCGCCACCCTGGGTGTCGGCGTCCTCGAAACGATGCGGTCACGCGTGGTCGCGTAGCGGGAGAGGCACAGGTAGCAGATGGTGAAGGCGGCGAGGGCCAGCACAGTGCCAGCGCTGCGGCGACTGCCGCGGTTGTCTCCCAGCGACGCACTCTGTTGAGCTTCCGTCGTCGGTGGCGCCTTCTGTTGCTTAGCGCCGCCAAGCTCCCGGTTGTCCGTCGTTGTCGTCATTTCCTCGCCTCGTCGTTCCCGGCGCAGATGGAAGCTTGCACGGAAGGTGGACTGTGCATTCGTGTGGTGCTGCTATTCGTACGGTAAGAGAAGAGAGAGAGAAGAGAGAGAGAGAGAGAGAAGAGAGAGAGAGAGAGAGAGAGAGAGAGAGAGAGAGAGAGAGAGAGAGAGAGAGAGCGAGAGAGCGAGAGCGAGAGAGCGAGAGCGAGTGTGTGTGTGTTGTAACAACGTATACCTCTATCGGCGTGCGAACTCCACGCGATGCATGGCAGGCGCGTCAGTTGTACGTCGCTGTTGTACGATTGTGAAGCATAACAGGCGAATGGTCAGTTGAGTGGTCAAATGCACAACGTTGACATGGAACTGTAGTGCACATTCGACGCATAGTCCGTTGAGAGGGGTCACTGGTACGGCATTGTCATGCAGCTGTAACAGACGCACATGAGATTAGATGCTGACGTAGACGTAGACGTAGACACTGTCTTTTATCCAATCAGGGCCTTTGCTACACGTAACACATAATTTAACCGCGGACAAATTAGTTTTACCTCGGTAGAAATACTTTAACCGCCGTTCAATTATGTCCGTTTTACCCATTCAGAGGCCTTGTTACACATAATTTAACCGCGGTTGTATTATTTCTACCGCGGCAAAAATAATTATTTCTGAGTACAATGTCCAACCATATGCGTGTAGCGTAGGTACTTAGGGCCGGACACACCAGGCAATTGCATCGGGCGATGGCATCGGCCGATGGCATCGCCGTGAAAATCGGCCTGGTGTGTCCACTCAATCGCCGCCGATTTCATCGCCCGATGCCACGCCGATGCCATCGCCCGATGCATCGCCCTGTGTGTCCGCAACCGGCGATAACATCGCCCGATTGTACAATTCATCAGCCAATCAGAGTTGTTCAATGATACTGACGTAATTCGACAAAAATGCAGACTTCATGGAGCAGAAGAGATAATCATTCAATACGTTATTAAATACCCATGCGTGGTCGACGACCAACCCAGGGTTTAACCCAGTGGGTAACCGGTTTCTCAGTTATCAGTGCGACCAAATACATCTACGGGTATATAGCGCTTGATATGTTTCACAAGGTACTCCCGCCTGTCGTCCGTCGGGCAGTGCGACACCCACCAGGTGGCGAGCTTCGTCTTGCGTGCTGCGTAGTCGATTCGGGCCGCCGTGTCGTAAGGCGTCCGTCGACGCGCGACGTTGCCGACCTGGAAAAAGATATCCGAGTCGCGTCGGTAACTCATCGTCCAGTTAAACCAGCCGTCGTACACGTTTAGATTGAAATTGTTCCAGTGGACGACGGGCGGCGCCTCGTACGTGACGAGCACCCACGGCTGGTCGGGCCGGCCGAAGTAACGCAGTCCGTCCCTGCGCGGATCGTACAGCTTGATCGTGAACATGACGGCGTCGCTGTCCTCAACGCGGCTGCGGTCGGTCGTGAAGTCGCACGCGTCCACGGCGCAGCCGACAAAGACGGGCTCGCCGTCGGTGTCCATCGGCGTCCACAGCAGCACCAGCTTGCGGGAGCCGCCGACACCGACATCGCCGCCGACGACACCCGTCTCGTTCATTGTTCTCGTTCGTTGTTCGTTGTTTGTTGATCGGTGTTCTTGTTCGTTGTTCGTTCTTCGGTGTTCTTGTTCGTTGTTCGGTGTTCTTGGTCGTTGTTCGTTGTTCGGTGTTCTTGTTCGTTGTTCGCTGATCGGTGTTCTTGTTCGTTGCTCGTTGCTCACATTCTGTTGCGTCCAGGAGGCCGGCGTTTCGGCTTCGCGCCTGCTTACGTGGACGGAGATGCACGCGAAGCAGACGCCGATCGCGACGAGGGCTAGCAGGGCGCGGGAGCTGCGGCGGTAGGCTTGTAGCAACATGCTTCTGACGGCCTGCGAACGTCTCTCCCGTAGAACAGAGAACATCGAAGCAGTCTGTAGCGTCGTGCGCCGTTGTCGTACGCAGATGAAACGCACGATAGCGTCGCTAGGTGACACAGTGGGGACACTGACGAGGAGCCCTATGTTGATTTCTATGTAAAACCTATTACCATGACATGTCTCTAATGACGGAAGTGTCGACCAATGATTTACGGGGAAAGAATGCTATGCGAAATGAGTCTCCTAGTGATGCAGAGGATTTAACAGTGGAGCAAAAATCGTTAGCAACTTACCCTGAAGAACGCGAGAACTTTCCACCGCGGAGTAGACGGCAGCCGAGCTCGACATCCTAGCAGATATGTCGTGCAAACAGTCGTACAGATAGTACGTACGTAGTAGTGCTGCTACGGTGCACGCGATGAAGATACAAGATAGAAATTGCGTTCACTCGTACAGCCGCATCAACTGCAAAGCACACGGTATAGCAGTGATGCCTACGTGCAGGGTGAAAGCTGGTGTAGCCGTGCCTGCCACCGCTCAGGCATTTACGACCAATGCTAGCAGCACAGTGCTCACATTCATTATTGAGGTGCGAAAAGAGGGCATTGCCCTTGCATCTCTGCAAGCCGGGCGCTGAGCGCAGGAGCGGGCGGTTTGGTTCGAGTGAAAACCGGATCGCGTTCTGCTTTTCCGAGCTCCGTTCGTGATCAGTTAAGCGATAACACAAATAGAGTGAGAGCGAGTGTCTCTAGGTAAGAGTGCGTGCGTGCATAGGCGTGTGTGCGAGGGAGATAGAGGGAGAAAGCGCTCGCGAGCGTGTGTAAGAGGGAGCAAGAGAGAGAGAGAGAGAGAGAGAGAGAGAGAGAGAGAGAGAGAGAGAGAGAGAGATAGCGTCACATCGTGTCGCACATATCCTATTGAAATGTGCGAAATCCGTTCTCTTTGAATCTTGACAACGAAACCCGTTGCTACATTTTCACGCAACCGTATGTTAATAGGGAGTATATGGAACCAGACAAATGGACAGTCAACGTGATAGACACGGGTAACTCTCGATTCACGCCGTAGTTACATGCCGTATTTCTAAAAACGCGTGCATCAAAAGATGTAAATAATGGAGATAGAGGGAGGGCTGGGATCATAGACGGTACCCAACGGGATACCAACGCAACTTATAGTGTACGAGGAGGTATGTATACACGTAGAATCATGAGGTAATAATACCTCTTAATACCTCCAGTTGTTATTAGTTATTGCTAGAATATCAGCTCGATATCCTGTAGGGTCTGCGACTATAAGCTAGGCCAGGGTTGGAACCTTCCCTGTGCTATAAACCTTCCCTGTATTATAAAGCCAGCACACGCTTTTATAATTTTGTAGTGCCACAGGCTGGCATGCCGAAGGTAGGTACGTGCTGCCGGCGCGATGGCGATATGCATCGGTGGACACACAGGCACTTGGAGCGTTTCAATAAAATATAATGCTAAATAAGTACGAAATCTATTTACTACCAAAGTATTAATGTTTCTCTACTCTCTTTCGCCTATTATTGCCGACAATTTCCTGTAAAGACTAGACTCTATAATTATTTATGTGTCAGTATGCGGCAGCGTGCATGCGGTGTACATGTGTTGCAGAGGAGCATTTGCACGGAATTTACAGGAAATTGTCGGCAATAATAGGCGAAAGAGAGTAGAGAAACATAAGGACTTTGGTAGTAAATAGATTTCGTATTTATTTAGCATTATATTTTATTGAAACGCTCCAAGTGCCTGTGGGTGGACACCTCACTCTAATCGCGTTGTTTGAAATATGCGCCTCAGCCAAAGATGTGAAAGGTGTAAGTTGACGGATCACATTATTCCAAAATGTACGTGTATACCAAACTCACGTAAATCGACGGTTACGTAGATTATGTTTATGTAGTGCTATACGTAGTATATATATATATATATATATATATATATATATATACACGCACACAGTATGTACGCGGAAACAGCTAGGCGCCTAAACTAGGCTACTCATCAAGCCGCATTTTGTGAAGTGGCCGCGCCAAGTTAGACTTGGTGAATCTTATTTCACCCGTGGAGTTTTTATCGTAGCGCATACACTTGGCTTCGTCAGTGAACCAGCGTTTTATATCGTACGACTGCGGTTGTGTGGCTGGAGCGTGCAGTTTCTCGCATAGTTGACACCACCTGTTTTGAGGTACCGCGGCTGACACGTCAATAACATAGTCCCGCTTCCAGGCAAAGTAGGCATTGTAAAGGGTGCTGTTGCCAGCGACTAGCTGGAGGTAGTTGGTAAGCTCCTTGACGG